CCCCTGCCCATCCATCCCCATCCCTGCCTGCCCCTGCCCGTCCCTGCCTGCCCCTGCCTCCCCGCAGAACTCCGAGCCAGAACACCATTTTGCTCCAAAGCTGGGCGCTTTGCCCTGGGAAAGGTGTTGCCGCCTCGCAAACCAGCGCTGACGCTCACCCTTACCTGCAAAAATAGAAGATCCAGCCCTGAAAAAGCAAACAGCTTAAGGAAAAGAGCGCGGGATGCAAATGTGAGAGAGGTTAAAGTTTACACTTGTGACCGTGTTCTTTTGTTGGTAGCATGTATTATTAAAAAAAAAAATAAAATAAATAAAATACCCCCAAACTGTACATATTATAAGGCTATATTTTTATCTCGGGGTTCTGGTGACACGTACAAACCACTTGAGCTTTGCTTTCGTGGTTTATATTGCCACCAGAAACCCTTGATAAAAATACAGCTTTATATTGTACAGTTGGGTATAGTTTATTTTCTCCATATATCACATACCCTGTTTTATTTATAAACATACACAAAGACACTTGTACATGCAAAGCAGTTTTTTTTATTGGAGTAATTCGGAGATATCAATAATGCTATATTAACTAACGCATCGTAACATAATCATTTTTGGGGTAGCAATGGCCTTTCTAAAGAGACATCTATTGAAAATATGATAAAAGACATAAAAAAATCAGTACATCCAGGTTAGAATTTACGATTCCCCTACTGAAAATTTCAGCTTCTGGTGGCTCGTACTCGCAGAGAACCCTGCTTAAACCACCTCCAAATTTAGCTTTAATCTCTCTTGAATACTCGAATCCTTTTCTACAGAAAGGCCACGGGAAATAAAGCTTCGCGTAACGGAGGAATGCAAAAATCCGAAGGAAAAAAAATCAAACCATGCAAGGAAACGCGCTGCTGCTGAAGGCGCAACTATGAGGAGCTTTTCGGTATTTTGCCCGCGTTGCGCTAATTGAACTTATTTACAAGATGCTTTTCATGCAGGTTGTCAGCAGCCTTTTGCGCCACTCACAACGCCAAAAATTCCTATTCCCACCTCTCACGATCCGGAAAGAAAAGCCGGGACCAAGCAGTTCGAGAGCCGCTTGCTTTTGAATGCGTCTCCATGTGATCCTGTTTACCTAAACCACCCTTTCCTGCTCCAAAGCGGCGAGGGGGGGCGCAGGGCAGGAGGCGGGCAGGGACGAGCGTGCCAGGCTGGGCAGGAGCGGGCGCGCGCTCGCTGCCCCTCGGCGAGCCCCACGCTTCCCTCAGGGCTGGAGATGGGAACAAAATCCACGCACAACAGGCCCGGACCGCTGTACTCATTCTGCTGTAAAATGTAAAACCAAGAAAGGGCAGACGAGCTGCATCCCTCAGGACGCATCCTGCTTTTTTAATATAGCGGTGCCACCACACATTTCACTTCGGATGTTGCATTATATTTATATGTCACTCAAATATTTACCATTTTTCTGAATTCTGCCGGGTGCTCTGAGAGCTTGTTATAAGCCAAGTACCCGCGGTTGTACGTCTTGGCTGGTTAGCAGCCGTGGCTGAGCTGCATCAATATGCTAACTTCTCTTTCTGGAGCTTCTCGTGCGACAAGAGCCACTCTTTCATAAGGTTTCCTCCTCCGTAGTTGCCGGTCTGCCCGCTGCTGCAAATCACCCTGTGGCACGGTATTATAATCGGGATCTGCAAAACACACAAAAATAAGGAACCCTTCAAAGGGTGAGGCAAAAAGGGGAGCGGTGGCTGGGGAAGGTGCTTATAAATCCACCGCTAAGCCAGGAGCCGTCCGGCACCGGACCAGCGGGGCTGGGGACTGAAGTATCGACGCCAAGGCGCGCGCTGGTGGGGCCCCGACCGTGCCCGAGGAGGACAGGGAGGCTGCGGCATCGAGGACCCGTTCCTGGTGGAGCTGCTATGGTGCAGAAACAGAGCTGATGATGGACTGCCCCACCACGGCCACCAGCTCTGACCACCACCCAGTTCTTAGGGGAAAATCATAGAATCATAGAATCCCAGGTTGGAAGGGTCCTCAAGGATCATCTGGTCCAACTTTTCCAGGCAAGAGCACAGCCTAGACAAGATGGCCCAGCACCCTGTCCAGCTGAGGATTGGACGTGTCCAATGTGGCAGAGTCAACCCCTCCCCTGGGGGGATCATTCCAATGGTTGACTGTGCTCATGGGGAAAAATTTCCCTCTCATGTCCAATGGGAATCTCTGGCAGAGTCAACCCCTCCCTGGGGAGATCATTCCAATGGGTGACTGTTCTCATGGGGAAAAAATTTCCCTCTCATGTCCAATGGGAATCTCTCCAAGAGCAACTTGTGTCCATCCCCGACTGGCCCTCTCCATGGGACTCCTTGTGAAAAGGGAGTCTCCATCTTCCCTGGAGCTCCCCCTTGGGTACTGGTACTTGGTGATGAGATCCCCTCTGAGCCTCCTCTGCCCAAGGCTGAACAAACCCAGCTCTCCCAGCTCATCACCATATGGCTACGAGAGGCTTCCCAGCCCTTGGATCACCTTGGTGGCCCTGCTCTGAACCACCTCCAACCCGTCCACATCTTTTTTGCACAGTGGGGACCAGAACTGCACACACGATTCCAGTTGGGGCCTGACAAAAAATAAGCGTTGGGAGAAATTTTAATACATAAAACCGATGTGAAGCCTCAAAAGGGTAAAACCAATGATATCTTAGATCCCATATACAAAAACTTCCCTGCAAGAAGCAGATGTTCCTGCCCCGCGTCAGCCCCCTTCCAGCAGCCGGTGCCCAGGGTGGGTGATGAAGCCTCGCAGACCCCAAACCCACACGAGGACAACACGGAGGTACGGGCCAACTATGAACTGTCATCCCAGGATTAGAAGAGGCCGTACGTCTGGAAAAAACCCAGGCCACTGCGAAGAGCCCTTGCCGGAGCGAGCTTCCCGAGCCCCTCGGCAGATCCCCTCCTCTCCCTATAGCACCTCTACGTGCACTGCTGAAAAATTCTATATAAGAACACGGCGCTATTTATTATTTAACAGCAAGTCAATCCAAAATGGGTTGTGAATTTTTAAAACCTACAACAGGAGAGATTTAATTCGCACCCAACCAATTTAAGAACTTTTTTTTTTTTTTTTTTCCTCGCGCCTTCTACTTTGTATCATTTACAGCCAAATGTCACGGATTCCGAAAAATCAATGCAACAAGTTACATAATAGACTGATAATGTAGAGAAGTACATAAACATGGATTTTTTTTTTTTTTTAATTTTTTTATTACAGGTGATTATCATAGTTGAAGTACACACCATAAAAAATGCAATACATCACCTCTAATCGCGCCGCACGCGTTTTGGTAAGTGCACAGCAATTCGGTTGCAATGATTTAGCTGTGAAAACAATAACTCGCCAAAAAGTGCGGTTTTCACAAATTTTGAGTCCAAAAGTATGATTTATTTATACACAGGCGCGCAGACAAATGACTGACTTTACGCTGACTTATTTTAATCCCATTTAATACGCATTTCAGTACAGTTCAAGCTGTGCTCATGCTTGAGTCCGGGACACCCAGACCCCACCGTACGGCTACTGGCCAGACCTTTGCAAATTGGGGTTTTTTGGGGGGATTCTTTTGGTTTTGCTAGGTAATTTCAATAGGCGAAATTTAAAATCTCAGCCTCAGCCCGCAGGCTGTCCCATTAAACAGGAATACACATCGGTGCTTCCTGTTAATCAAGGTTTAATAAAAAAATGCTTATAATTTGGAGTTGGCGGTGCCACGAGTGAATTACGCATCCGTGACGACTCCAGTGAGTGCCAATGAAGTCTTTGCTCCATCCCATGCCATCCCACGCTTGCTTTAGGACTTCTTTATAGAAGTTGTTCTTTTGGCAAGCGTTTTTTTTCTGGTTCAGGATTCCTCTTGCCTTTACGATCCACGTGCACAAGCGAGGGCAGGCAGGTTGTCCCGAGTGGCAAAGCAGTAAAAAGCCATAATAATGCACCGTAAAAAACCTCCAAGGTTAATTTGCAATTCTTTAAAAAATATCGACAGTAATTCAGCATATTTTGACGGTAGGGCTATAAATCCTGCTACGGACAGGGGCCAAAACCCCTTTCTGAGCCAGTTCCCTGCCGCCGCCCAGACGGTGCAGAGATGCTCAAACCGGGGTGGGGGGGTGTCCGTGCACTGGGGAATTTTGTCAGGGAGGGGAAGTTGATGACTTCTCCTGCTACATCGTGCCAGAAGACGGAAGGCACGCCCAAGTAGAGAAATAAAAAAGCACTTTATTTTCAGGTGGCGTGAGCTGGCACGCCGGGCGGGGTCGTGATGATCCCTGGGTCGGCGCAGGACCCATTCGCAAACGTCGGGATGCGCGGCTGAGCCGCTTGCCGTCAAGCAAGGAGAGGAGGGTATGAAATAAATGCAGCTTTTTCCATGCCTGAAATAAAGAACTTCATACCCAGTTTGTCCTACCGCATGCCAGTGCCTGTATGTCACCCTCGGTAGTGTCGGATGCGAAAGAAAAGGTGGTACAAAGGCTGCATCGGTGCTATAATTTAAAAATATTGAACATTGCTTAAGTTTGGCTTAATTGTGGTGACAACTTTCAGACTACTAAAATAATTAAACCTGCTAAAATTTATTAGGGCCCTAAGGACATTTTAGAGGGAGTACTACCCTAGTCTGGAGCTTTAATGCCTCAGCTACATTTAATGTAATTTTTATCAATAACCAAGCAGCTCATAATATTATAGCTCTGCTGAAATCTTCATGCTGTGAAATCCAATTCATCTACTACACGAATCCATCACTTACACAGACCCTACCTCAAACGCTATAAAACTTCCAAACCCATAGATTTGTCTCCAACAAAAAAATAACATGAAGGGGCCCTCGGATCAATAACGGAGTCCCTCTGATTCGGGCACCAGCTGAATATTTTCTCCAACTTTGCTTTTGTTCTTCTGGGTAGAGGCCCACAAGGGAAAGCGCTTGTTTTCACTCGCAGCCTCATCAATACCTAAATCCTGGTGAACAAGTGACACTGAGAAGCTGTAATCAATAGCTCCCTGTGCGTTTTTTCTTCTGGTCAAATGGTTCAGCACTACTGACAGCCCTGACACTCAGAACATGATGCTAAATCTTTATCAACAGCCATCTGGGTGACTGGCAGAACAAGACTCGGGCGGTCATTAACGCTCGTGGCAATCCGTGAATAAACTAACTCCTCGATAATGCGTTTGTTTAGAAAAAAAAGGTGGGGGAAAAAAACTCCCTGCGCAAGGTATCGATCGCCTTTGAATTGCATTTAGCAAATTCCGTCTGAGGATGGAGCGGAGCGGTGCTCCGCCGCGGCGCTCCGCTCGTTAAAGAGTTTTCAATCTGAGGCAAGGCAAACCCGACCGTCCCATTATACCGCTGATGGGCTGGAGACCTCCAGAAACTGCCAAACTGTCACCACCCGATCAGCCGGGCCGTAATGGAAACAGCTGAGATACCAAGTTATAACACACCACAAGAATCACGCTTAGCAAAAAATAACCTTTCCGTTTGCTCATGTCCTCTTGCTTTTTCTCCCCTTCTTCCCCGACAGAAACAAATACCGAAATGTGACACAGCACGGGTCCGGGGTTATTGCCAGCCACCGAAGGAATTAATGCACAAGTCGTTTCATGTGTCCGCAACCTTTCACATCCACACGTCACATCTTCTCATAAATGCGCCATTCCTCCGACCAATCTCCAACGTTTAAAACCTCTTGGCTGAATAACGTCCTTGACTTAGGCTAGACCGGCGTTAGCGTGGAGTTGTCCACTTAGCCGGGCTTTAGCCTAAACAGTAACGCCATCGGAGAGAACATAAAAACCAACGTGTGCAGCTATGACTGCCGTTAACAGACCGCTGAAGACGTCTTATTTAAGGCACAGAACAGTCATTTAGGATGGCCTTGGACTAATCAGCCCAACAGTCGCCATTTCCCATGAGTCTCTGTGATTTCTTTTTGATCCTCCTATACTAGTCTAATGAGATTTTTAATTGAACTTTATGGGTTCCCTTTGAGGACCACAGACCTTGCAATCAATGTGAACCGCAGTAAACTATTTGAAGTTCCTCTTGCAGAAGGTGAGCCATCCCCACCACGTCCTTGGCATAAATTGAGGGGACGACGGCGCGTCTTTCAGCTGCTGCCGCCACCTATTCCACCTTCTCATAAAGTTGAAGGTCATCGTATAAATTCTGCAGAGCCACCCAACTACAAAGGGAAACCCGTGGAACACGCGCCACCAAAATTAAAAGACCAACCCCTGATTTGTAGAAGGGAGAAATGCGCTGGTATTTTGCGGAAAAAGGCGAGACGTGCGATTTTACCAACACATTTGGGTAACAAAGCAGCGCCGGGCTCGGGCTGGTTTCAAACGCTCGTTTTTACTGTTATCCCTACCCACATTAAATCATGTTAAGGATTTAGTCACCCTGTTTGCAATTTAGTCCTTTAATCACAGGGAGCACCTCGAGGTGCAAACTTCTTTTGCCATTTTGCGTCGCTCCTGCAGCGTTCGCTTCTACTTCGCGTTCGCAGTAAAAGCCTTCACTAGATTCAGCTTCTCCCCTGCGAACAAAAAAACCCCACTCATCTGCTGCTTAACAAAACCTCCCATTCCTGCGACGATTCCGAAGCCATCGCTCTCCGAAGCCAGTGCTGCTATCCCGAAGCTCGGGCTGCAGGTCTAGCAGTGGTTAACGCCAGAGCTCTTTGCATTCTGCGCAGATACGGTAACGACGCTGCGGCTCGCGTGACGTCTTCAGTTTAATGAACTGTTTAGTTAGATTCAAAGCTCAATAGCTCATCTGATAAACAGGCTGCAAGCGTGTTTATAGGCGCACCGTCTTCATGGGCATCCTACAATTCCGAGCAGGGAGCACGCTGCCATCCTCACATCATCTCTAATGGGCTTAAGCTTCTCAGCTCAATAAAGAAGTACACCCTAATATTTTAAGCGTCTATCAGATTTTCCTACAAAACAGTTCATAGAAGCGGCATAAAGCTGCATTTCGTCAATACGCTGGATTGTACTTGACAATACAAACTATTTTAATATGATGGAATGCTTTCCAATATAATACGGTGTACATTAAGATAAGGCAATAGAATGCAAACCTACAGGAAACAGTTCTCAAAGAATAACAATACAGTGTTGTGCAAAAGGATATGTAATTGCTATCGCCTAGAAATGTACCCAGCTTTGCCCTCAGGCTGCAGTGGAGCAGCAGCATCCAAAGTAGCGGTAACAGCAGGTTGTGGTGTGAAAATTCCTGCTTTTTCCCCTGTGAGGAAGAATGAAAATAGTTCTGAAAATATACAGCAAAGCTACCGCAATTTTTTTTTTTTTTTTTAAACGGGGTCCTATCTTATTATTGCTATTTCCCATCCCGTACGACGGCTGCAGCGGTTTCTGTCCCCAGCAGAAAACTTTTAAGCATATTAGAGATAATAATGTATAGCTTTAGGGAAAAAGCTGTATTAATATAATACCACCCCAATATTTCATAATAAAAAGTCGATGATTAAAAAAATAGAAAAAAATCAGTGCTGTAATGAGAGCCCTGCCCATTCCAAACCGCATTTTTAGCGCTATACGTCACCTGTAGTTGATCTGCAATTCCATGCATATTCCACATGCAGACACACACATAGTCCTTTGGTACTTCAATGGCAGCACCTATTCACCACGTTTCGCCTACGTCCCATATAAATCTTTACACGGTCCTTCAGACCTATGAGCCAGAACATGCAGGCTGATTTTATGAATGAGGTGAAATACAAAGATAATATGTGGCACTGCAAAACCCCCCTCACCTTTATTATTCCTATACGTAAAGCCACCGGCTCTTGTGAAAGCAGATTTTCCAGCCCACTTTGCGACTACGCGTCGCAGTTTCAGATGTACCTTATTAAAGAAAATACCGAGAGGGCCGAACGTAAAAAAGAACACGGGAGGTCAAAGATGACGGTGGGTGTAACGCTGGAGAAAAGGAGAGGAATTTGGGTATGGAAAGACACGTGTTGCTGAGGGCAAGCGGCAATGAGGCAAAATACATTGAAGAATGGCCAAAAAGGCCACAATGATATGAATAGAAATGCAAGTATTTTATTTTTTTTAAAGGCAAGTAGCAAGGGAATGAGTGTGGGAAGACAGATAGAGCGGCGTTCTCTTTACCGGCTTCTCCCTTCCTCTGCACAGGAACCAGCCCCGGTCCCGCACCCATCACTGTGATTCGGGTGCATAAATACAGCTGGAAATCTGAACCTGGACAACTAAAAGTGACTGGGAAGATGGACGACGAGGCTGAGGATTCTAACGTGCTGTTTTTCCAAAATCCACAGGACTAACTAACCTAGAGCCCTACCCCCTCCGGTTGGTTCAAAATCAAGCAACTCACCGATATCGAATGGAGAAATGCCATTTACAGCTGGTTTGGAGCACACGGGGGAAAAAACCATACTGACAATTAGGGATTTGATTCAAATGTGTACCTACAGGATTTAACATCCCTCCTCCTCCATGTTTTCAGAAACATAACCATGCCAGAGAGGATGGACTGCTGTCAACCCAACTCATGCCCTCTCAAAACGAGGTCCGTGTCAGGGGACAAAAAAAGACTTCCCTCACCTAAGAATACATAAGGAAGTGTGGGAACAACAAAACGTGTAGAGGCTGATGAATTAAAAGAAGCGCGATGTTTCTTTTTCAAATCTAATGCCATAAGTGGTCGGGAATAAATCACATTAAACTGGGCTGTGCATTATTGCTGATTAAAAACCCTTACTGACCTTCTAACTCGTGGTAGACCAGTTTTCACAGCAGATAAATTGAAACTAATGACATTTAGCCCGCAAAGCTCTCTAAATCCACCGTTTTCCATCAACTTTATTTCAAAGTTGACGTGAACTTACAGGGTTGCTCCTCATCGCTCCTCCCACCGCTCTCGCTGCTCTGCTGTTGCCTGCAAGCTCTGCTAATTGCTTGTAGGAGACGGCCTCTCCAAACTTCACGTCCCTCAGCAGGGTCCACAGCACTTGTCTGGTGAAGGAATCTGCAAAGAAGACGAAGCGAGCACCGTTCGTGGGCATGGAGGAAAAAGCCAAGATGAAATAGCCAAAAAACCCCAACGCAACGCGAGAGTCTCAATAGCGGCTTTCTAATTTAAATTTAAACAGCCCCGATGCACTGTCCTGTTATTGTATCCTATATTACTACATTTAAATACATGATTATTAGAAAGAGCGCTTCAAGTAACCGATCACTATAAAAAAGGATTTAAGGCTTTGATTTTCCTATATTTTTAATTTGCTTCAAGTACAATTATCCTGTTAACTCATACAATGTGGTTTTTCCATTAAATTGGCAGAGTATAAATTAGCATAGAGTCAAATTAAAAAGGGAAGAAATAACCGGCTCTACCTATTTTACAAAGCCCTCGCATCTCCAGCTAATTTCCAACTTCAGCTGGGACACGCGGCAGAAGAAGCCCTAGAGCCAGCGGACTCGGTATTATCCTCGCTGCCTGCATTTTATAGTCGAGACCCCCAAGCTACAGCTCAGCACTGCAGACATTACAAAATGTAAGGACTAGCCGTGACCTTGAACGTACGGCACATCCTTAATGATACCGGGCTCTGAAAAAAAATAAAAAAAAATAGTGTCTCTTCCATTATTTTAATTTTAATTCACCAGCAAATTGCTTCTAAGTGTTCCAATTGCTGAAATAATGAGTAAGCAAATGCATTAGGACCAGCTTGCTTCTGTGTCTCAGGGTTTTACCTTCCCAAACCAGGCTTATTTTGCAAAAGGAAAACTGAGAGCCGCGCTCTTATTTCAGTTGGGTTGAGCACCTACTGCTCCTCCAAGGCACTTGGAAAAGCTTTGAAGACCTAACCAGTGAATAACTGCTTGAGAGGAGCGAGCTGGCGAATGAAAAAAAAAAAAAAGGAAAAAAGGAAAAAAAAAAAAAAAAAAGGAAAAAAGGGAAAAAAAAAAAAAAGGAAAAGAAGCGGCTTCCCCCAGCTGAGAGCTTCAGTCTCCTGCTTTGGCAAAGAAACAAACTGATTAAAAACATTTTCTTTCTTCAGTTGTCAAAACAGACGTTGATTACGTTACGTAGGAACACAGCGAAATGTGATTTTGTTCTTAAAGGAAACCCATACACCATTATGTGGGTGTTAAATAATAAAAATCACTTCTTAACTGAAGGGAATGATAATCACTTCATTGAAAAAATCTGTTTAGTCTTTATTATAACATTAAGCAAATTAAACATCAGCATAATCCAGGTGATACGAGAAAAGGGTCATCAAAGAAATTAACTTTGTTGTTCATTAATTTACATGGATTAGTAGAGGGCAAAGAGATAGCAAATCTGCTCTAGTTTTTATGATATAATTTCAAACTGTACACCATTTGTGGCAGTAGGGTGACTTTGGGGTTAATCAGACTGATTTGTCCTTTTAATTGCTTTCTATTCAAAGAAAATTCATTAGATAATGTTCTCTTCAAAATTCATGAATCAATTTAACTGAAGAAACCACATTAACAGCTTTGGGTTCATTAGCACAAGCAGTTGTGTTACCGGCTGATTGCTAGGAGGGTTTCCTTAGGCAAACAGGTTTTGTTTACCGTGATTTCTTCAGAAAGGTTGATTTCAAAATCAAATTGTTACTTACTATTTTTTTAACCTTCCTTTTGAGCCGGCGAGAGTAGCGTTAACCTCGCCTGCTCAGGGGTCTCAGGGAGTTACTGCCCGATGTCGTCTTTTAAATCAACGAAATACAGTGTCGCCGGGGCCCGAGTCCAAAAAAATCCCCTTTTTTCTCCTCCTCATTTTTGGAAGGGGAGGTGGGGCTGGGATGTGACGCACCCATAACTTTCTGAAACCTGTAGGAGTACGAGGAGAAGCGGGCACAGCCTGCGCTGAGCCCCGCGCGGCCGCCGGAGGATGGGGCAGCTCCAGAGAGCGCCCCCAGCGATCGCTCCACCGTGCCAAGCGATGCCCAAAGTACCCGGTCCCTCTTAACGTGCAAAAAGAAAGATGGAGATTATCCTCTTCCGACAAGCAGCGCCGGAGGTTGTCCCTCTTCCCGAGCCACTGTACGTTTGTCATGGGAGAACATCGGCACCCACCTAAGCCACTCGAAGTTACAGTTCAAAAGAATGAAATGTTTAGCAATCACGCACATCATTTTATAAATGTATATGAAAACTCAATTTCATCCTGTAGGGAGCAAACGCATTAATTAGTTTAAGCAGCTCTACGAGACAGTGCCAAAGACTGTTATTAAACTGCCTGCAAGTGTGAGTGCCTGTAAGCATAACCTGCCCAAATGAGATGGCTGAACTTTCACCAATTCTCAGCGTGTGCCAACATTTTATGCTGTTAAATATCATTAGGAAGTGCTGTAAAATACGCACATAAAAATTAACACGCGCAAATTTCTCTCCTTAGGTGAAAACACTTCGTACCTCCGCGAGCTGAGGATGCCCGTGCCGTGCCGGAGCGGCAGGCGCCAGCAGAGCCGCGGGCGAACCGAAGTGGTTGGGAATATTGGAGGCTTTCTCCTTCCCTTGTACCCACGTACAGCCCATGCTGTACACCCTCCCTCCAGGTGACCAGGCTCCGGGCTGCCCTCTTGCCAAGGAACACGTCTTATGGCCCACACAGGGCAACTCGTGTCGCTAGATGCTATTTCTCATTTAAGTGACCCAAAAAACCAAAAAAACCACCAAAAAAAAAAAGATGTGGACAGGCTGGGGGGGGGCCAGAGCAGGGCCACCAAGGTGACCCAAGGGCTGGGAAGCCTGACGTATTAGGACAGGCTGAGAGAGCTGGGTTTGTTCAGCCTTGAGCAGAGGAGGCTCAGGGGGGATGTCACCACCACGTACCAGTACCTAAGGGGTGGCTACAAGGACAATGGAGACCCCCTTTTCACAAGGAGTCCCATGGAGAGGACAAGGGGCAATGGTGCCACGCTGACACTTTCAAGCCTCAGCTGGACAGGGTGCTGGGCCACCTTGTCTAGGCTGTGCTCTTGCCTAGAAAGGTTGGACCAGATGTTCCCCGAGGTCCCTTCCAACCTAGGATTGCATGATTTTAGGATTCTATGATAATTTTTCAGGTTTTACATCCAAACGCACACCTCACCGATTCCCACTGGGAGCTGAAGCTGCAACGGGAAGGCGGAGGTGAAGGTGGACTGAAGGATGGGGAAGGGAGAGACCTGCGACCGCCTCGGGTTCCCAAATCTCCACAGCCCTGAGGACCCGTTCCTACCTCCAGCTGCCGTGGCCGTGGCCACCCAGGGACCGCAAAGGTAGTCGGGAGGGTTTAAAAACAGGCGATGGTGATTGATTTCTTGGGTGTTTTCCTCATACGGACATCACCGGTTTTGACTTGCTGGTCAAAAGCCTCATACTCGCACCTTACCGTCAGCCCTGCCAATTGGGTGGTAAATTGGCAAAGCAACGTGCCATCGTGCCACGAGTGGATGTGCTGGGACTGTTCTGAAATTAGTATTTACAGATAAGTTATAAGCCCCTAAGAAGCGGGACTTACCCTGAACCTGCTTGTCGATGCCTAAACGCTTCAGAGGTCACTCGTGACAGGCCCCTAGGCTTTAGTTCGCCACGTAAACACGTCACGTCCGTGGGGATAACAGAGAGAAAATCAAGTTTACCTTAACACCAGCCGTATCATAATTTTTAACAGCCTAACTGAAGGTGGCAATTAGTACAAAGACGTGAAATCACGCGCTATTACCTCGCGACGCGCTGCCGGAGCATTTATGGTGTTAGCATGGGGCAGGTGGGATGGATGCTCAGCACGGGGGGGAAGAGCAGAGTCACCAGCGCCAGTCCCTTCCCGCCCCGCTCTGCACCTCCTGCATGGGGCAAGAGAGCTTCCAAAGATCCACAGTCTGCCTTTACAACCTTTTTAATCCCTTCGATGAAGAGGGATTGAAGACAGACCATTTTTTCCCTTCTCCTCAACACCGATTGCTGGGAACGTTAAGTTTTTTTGTTTGTTGTGGTTCCTCATCCCCCTCCCAAGGGTTTTTGCAAATGCAAAGAAACGGTTATAAACGCCCACCCCTTCTCACCATCTTTTTCGCAGCCTGTCTGGGTACTACATAAACATCTTTTTTGCTTGTTTTTACGCTTAATCAGTTTTCACCGTTATTACTGTTGGTAAAATATCAAGCATGAGTCTACGAAAATACTCCGATATGTCCACAAAAGAGCAGCACGAGCTTCCCCCTCACCCAGAAAGCTTCACTTGGCTCTCGGCCCTTGGAAGAACGGACTCATGTTCAAATGGAAGAACTTTTACTGACAACAGGCAACTATGTAAACGGTCAACGCAAGCAAGAGTGCTAATTTTTAGCCATTTTGAGTCTCCTTCACTATCAGATAGGCAGTTAAAGCCATATTAAGCAGGTCACCTGAATGGCAATCTGAACACCAACAATCAAGGCCACCCTACCCTAGACCGAACTAGCAAGTGGTACGGGAAAGGGATAAATGCTTGTCTAAGTCTTTTAACTGTTTAATTACATTTTGCTCTGGTTACCAGGTAGGTCGAGAAATGTTCTTCTTCCCTTTTGCAATGGCTGCAAGTCCCTGGCCATTGCTACCCTATGGTAAAAAATGCAATTATTAGTTGCTATTAAGGGATTACTGGGAATATAGATTAGACAGCACGGTGACACTGTATCCGTTAAAATAGCCCAAACATCTCACTGCAACAACGGATTACATTAAAATCAGGGGTGCTGCAACCACCTTGCCAAAATCATTGAGAAAAGACTTCTATGAACTTTTATTGTTGCTGCCTGCATGCGTGATATTGATATATTATAGAGATAGAAGGTGCCTAACTGAAAAGAATAAAGTTTATGGTTGCTTAAATAGCTGAGCCAAAGCAAAGGCCTTGGCCATTTTGAAGGACCGAGCTTTATGAATGAAGATGCAAAAAGAATCTGTTGCTGACTTTACAGAACCCATCATCAGCTTTATAGTAAAAAAAAAGTTTATAAAAATGAA